AAATTGTTACGACATGACTGTTCTCCTACCCAGTTTTGGGACCTCCTGTCTGGAGAATCCTCCCTTCTCCACTGAGCGTCAGGCAAAAGTTAAGAACAAACCGTAACAAAATATTTTAATGTCCTTGATACAATCTATTTGCCACTAGCGTATCAGCATCCATGGTAAATTTAAGTTTGCTGTCCATCCATAAACATAAATATTTAACTATTGTAATATTAATTTGTAATCACTGTGTAATACAAGGGTGTCTCTCATGGAGAAAAGGATGTCTTCAGCCTTGCTTGGGTTTTGTGTAATACTTATCAAGTTTGGTTAAGGGAGCATCAATTTTTGTATAGATGTATTTGATGTTTAAGTTGTGAAATAGCCGGATCATCTGCGTACTAAAAGATTTATTGCTACCTGATATAAAGATTAATAGTATTTTATTTTACCATATGATTTTTTATTTAACAATGTTTTTATCATAATTTCATTTTACATAAACTTCTAAAATAGTCCACTATTTTCTTTAGAACAATGTCGAAATGTATGGAACTTGTAGCATATTCATTCATACTAAAATATTCTAAGTATATTTTTTAAAACATTTGTTTACATTCTATTTAATTTTTCCGGTTACAATTTGGTCTGAAAAATTAAACTGAAATACTTTGTTTGATAATTAATTTCAATGATAGCACCAATAATCAATAATTTATCACACAGAAGTAAATTATTTTTTGTTTAACTTTGTGTTGTGAAGCCTTGTACATTTTTCTACAATCCAACAGTCAATTAAAAGATACAGCCAGGAAAAAAATAGAATGAATAAAGCTCTCAAATGCACCTTTCATCAGTTTTATTTTGCAAATTTCTATGTAATGCAGATCTCGGAAGATTATTATATAAGGAAAGTAGTTTGCAGGCAAATTTGTAATTTATAACAATTTTTTAAGATTTAATTTAAAAAAATACTATTCATCAAAATATATACTCATGCAAAACAATATTCCAGAATTATTGAACAAATTTCATAGACAAAGTGTTATAGGTAAATAAACCACTTTTGGTTTTATTTTTTGATACGTTTATGCTAAAGTGGGACTTGCGTTTGAAGATTATCAGTATTAATAATATTATCAGAATATTATATCATTGTTGTCACGCTTCATGCTGTCTGATTATAATTGCAGAAAACAGGTGTCTGCTTTAAAGTTAGCTAATTCAGTGTATTGGCATATTCTTGCCTTTCAACATAGCAGTTGCTGGAAGCACTTTCTGCACTGGCTATTGATAGTCAATTTCAAAAATTTATGTGTAGAGATTAGTGACAGTTAATCGATAGTTATTCAGATATCGTGAGGTGCGGTCGGGTGTGATGTAGGTTTCAGAAAAACATTTTCTTTATCGTGCCAACGTTTCAATCTTTTATTGAGCCCTGAAGATGATCTCAATAAAAGATCGAAACGTTGGCACGATAAAGAAAATGTTTTTCTGAAACCTACATCACACCCGACCGCATTTCAAAAATTTACTTGTTAAGCTTCTAGAAATGTTCAATTGTTTTCGTGGGCGTTTATTAAATTTCGAAGGCAAATAAAAATAAACTTAGGACAAGTTTGTTTCGTTGCCAGACATTTTATCTACGAATTTAGTTATTCAAAGCAATTTTTTTCCATTGTGTATTGATCATCAAAACGTCTCAAAAGAATGATGGTTAATCAATTGCAAAATTTTGTCAATATAAATTGTGTTAATGAGTTGAATCACTGGTCCAAAGTAATGTTGCAGTTGGGTGATGTGAAAGTGTGTGCTGTATGTATTCTTTGGGGGGGGGGGGGTAAAAAAGTTTGTCATTTGTAATTTTAGTTGTGGGCCGGCGGTGGCGGTGGGTTTGAAGGGGTGGATGAAATGTCGTCGGTCGACGGTGCGCCGCGACGGGGCGAGGCGATGACGTCTGCAGGCCGGCGGCCGAGCCTGCGCCCATGTCTTGCCATCTTCTGTTTGCCCTGGGACGGTGACCGCGCCGCGAGTGGTACCTCGACCAACTACTCGCTTCTGATCGTTATTTTCCTCCAGAATTATTCTAAAAATAAATTTTGCAAATTTCTCGCCGTTCCCGCCGCGAGCGGTCGGGAATAAAAGATTGAATTTTTTTGAGTCATATGTGAATCGAAGATATTTTCCGGGTTAGCGATTCGAGAAATGAAGTTTTGTCGAGGGACCCGATTTTCGAAGATCCGTGGATTCTTTGGTTTTTGGGCGTCCAACCGAAGCTTATCGATTCGACGATAGTTTCGTTTCGACGTTTTCCTTTCTTTTTCAATTCCGTGGAAGCGTGAATAACGAGATAATAATTTAATAGTAAATCTAGGAACGAGGTTGTAGGGGGCGCAGGTCGGACAAAGTCGCCCGTCCGAAGCTCTCTATCATAACATAACCTGTGGTTCTCTTCTCCTCGTCTTGTTTGAAGGTTGGCCTCAGTTTTCCGTTTGTTGTGAGCCGTATAAGTAATTAAGTGTGTAAAAGCTAGTTTTCTCGTGTGGGCTGGCGTGGCGAAAGTGCGAACTCTGATCGACGTTTTCTCCCTGGTCCGAGTCGTAAGTTTTTTTGTGTCGGGACTTGTCAACCGAATGCTACGTTCTCCGTCGGTGTGAGGTGTTGCCGTGCCGTTGTCGCCCAAGACCGAAATAATCGGGGTGTGATCGCTGGACAATGGTGAAAGCCCGTTTTTCCGGGCCGGGTGGAGACGTTTCGCTTGTTCATCTCCGTTAATCGTGGATCATGGTGAATTGAAAGACACTCGCTTTGCAGTAAGTGAAAATGGTCATTTCCGCGATCGAGTCTTATTCGGATTGTGTTGTCGTTGTGTTGTTCGATTTGATGATGTAATATAATGTCGTCGGCATTGATACCCGCCGCGGATCCTGTCTCTCCGGTGGACAGGTTCAAAAAGAAGAAGATGTCCGTGGACGACTCTGACTTGCAGGCGCTCCCGCCGCTGTCCAGCGTCCCTCCGATCGAACAAGAGAAACTTTTCATACTTAAACTCCAACAGTGCAGCGTCATGTACGACTTCTCCGACCCGGCCTCCAATATTAAAGGGAAAGAATTGAAGAAGGCTTGCCTGAGCGAGCTGGCTCAGTACATCGCCAATGAGAGGGGTGTCCTCACCGAACCCGTCTACCCAGAGATAGTCAAGATGATATCCAACAACCTCTTCCGGACTCTGCCTCCAAGCGAAAACAAAGAATTCGACCCAGAAGAGGATGACCCGAACTTCGAAGCCTCCTGGCCGCACCTCCTTCTCGTGTACGAGATATTTCTCAGATTTGTTGAATCTCCCGACTTTCAGCCGTCGCTCGGCAAGAAAGTGATAGACAAGCGATTTGTATTTCAACTCTTGGAATTATTCGATTGTGAAGATCCGAGAGAAAGAGACTGTCTTAAGTCCGTACTGCACCGGATTTACGGCAAGTTCCTTGCCCTGAGAGCCTTCATTAGGCAGCAGATAAACTATATATTTTTGAAGTTCATTTTTGAAACTGAACGGTTCAACGGTATAGCAGAGCTTCTTGAGATACTGGGGAGCATCATCAATGGCTTTGCCCTCCCTTTGAAAGCAGAACACAATCAGTTCTTGATCAAAGTTCTGATTCCATTACACAAAGTCAAATGTCTGCTACTCTATCATGCCCAATTGGCATATTGCATTGTACAGTTTCTCGAGAAGGACCCAATGTTGACTGCCCCTGTAGTCAATGGCATTATGAAGTTCTGGCCTAAGACGTGCAGCCAAAAGGAAGTGATGTTCCTCGGCGAGATAGAAGAGATACTTGACATCATTGAACCGTCACAGTTTGAAGCAGTGCAAGAAGTAATATTCAAACAAGTATCGAAATGTGTGGCAAGTCCACACTTTCAGGTGGCTGAAAGGGCTCTCTACTTATGGCATAACGAATATATAATTTCGTTAGTAGAAGAACACCATCAAGTCATTATGCCCATAATGTTCACCCCGCTTTATCGCCTATGCAAAGAGCATTGGAACAAGACAATTGTCGCTCTCGGATACAACGTTTTAAAAACATTTATGGAAATGAACAATAAACTATTTGATGAGTTGACATCCACGTTCAAGGCCAACAGGCAGCGAGAAAAGCAGCGTGCCAAAGAAAGGGAAGAATTGTGGAAGAAATTAACAGAACTTGAAATAAACAGCAGACAGCAAACAGAAAATAATACCAATAATATGTAGTAATATTTATAAAGAATTCAATAAATAATATTAAAAAAAGAGGGAATTTTTTTTTAATTTTTTTTTTTTTTTTTAATTTCCAAGTGTTTAAAGATTAATTGTGCACCTGAATAAAAGTGTAAAACAAACTATAAAGATTCCCTCATTGATTTTTTATGTTTTTGTTTTTATTTATTTTTATTTATTTATTTATTGTTATTAACAATAACCTGCTGTAATTTTGAAGATGAAATTTAATTGGCTGTCACCTCTGTTTTTTTTCTTTGTAATTTTTGGCTTATTCAAAACGAATGTAACCCTTTGGTGTATAAATGTTTAAATAAGGGATAAATGGACATAGTTGATCCCCCTCAAGCCCCTCTCCATTAAAACAAATTTTATATATAATGTATATGTGTGTGTGTGTATATATATGTATGTCTATTATATATATACATGGACATATATTTCATTTCCATGTAGATTTCAAGTAATATGCTGAAAGTATTATAATACACTCATTTATTATTATTTGAACACAGTATTATTTGGACTGGATTATTTTTACATATTTTTTTCTCTCTTTGTAATTATATATAATAATAATTACACAATTGTTTCTTTTTGCATTGTTGTCTCTTTTGGATTGTAACCCCCTAATCAAAATGCCAAATAAAATTTACCTTTTGCCTTATGAATTGGTAGGTTTAATAATTTTAGTAAAATATTGCTATTAATGAAATAAGTTTTATAATAAATTTTTTAAAATATATTTTAGAGGCCTAATGCACCTTCATGAAGAAATGTCACCGACTAAAACAGAGGGGTATAAACCGGCTGTTGCACATCGTGACTTTAAATCGAGAAATGTTCTTCTTAAATCAGACTTAACAGCATGCATAGCAGATTTTGGATTGGCACTGATCTTCCAACCTGGAAAACCGTGTGGTGACACTCACGGCCAAGTGAGTAAACAGTTTATTGCAAAAACACATTTGAATAAATGTTTTTGAGGTGTGCATTTTTAAAAAATAGTATGAATCAGTTTTTAAATATTTGCATAACTATAAATGTCCTTGCTTGTATGCAAGGAATTTCTTCAAGGTTTTGCTGGTTTAGCCTACCCACGACGTTTTTATGAGCACTGCTTACATAAATATTGTTTTAGTAAAATTAAACAGACTTCCTGTAAACATTGATAATTAATGTTACAGGTAACAAATTTATCTTTATAATGATTACTTTTAGTTCCACACTGCACACACCCAACAAAATAAAATAAACCATCAACCAAAGAAAATTAATCTTCTCACCTATCAGCATTTAGCCTTTAGAAATTGCAATGTAGGAGGAAGTTGAATAATTTAGTGTGATTGTCTAAATTAAAATAGTTACCACACATTTATTAATTTATTATACAAATCACACCTTTTCTATCAAACAAGTCATTGCATATGGGTATAGTTGGTTCAGTTTTATTATTTTAAATGTTTTTTAATACAAATTTTAATGCCATTATCAAAAGATTTGTTTAGATCATGAGCATTCGTTTGTATAACATAGCTTTTACAATTAGGTCGGAACAAGAAGATACATGGCTCCAGAAGTGTTGGAAGGTGCCATTAATTTTTCAAGAGATGCTTTCCTCAGAATTGATATGTATGCTTGTGGTCTAGTTTTATGGGAATTGGCCACACGGTGTACAGCACAAGAAGTAAGATTAAAGTTATAATTTTTTTCAGTCAATATATGTATTTTATTTTATTTTTGTTAACCTACAGAGTGTAATTGGGGAGTATCAGTTGCCTTTTGAGGAAGAAGTGGGTCAGCACCCGACACTCGAAGACATGCAAGAATGTGTTGTTCACAAGAAACAAAGACCCATTTTGAAAAACACTTGGAGAGTACATCCAGTAAGTATTATACACCCTTATTAAAATTAGTAAATAAAAATTAAAAACGACAATATTTTAAGGGCCTGCAATCTTTATGTGACACTATGGAAGAGTGTTGGGACCATGATGCAGAAGCGAGGCTCTCCGCTTCATGTGTAATGGAAAGAATTGCTTTCCAAGCGAAAAGCAACCCAGCGCCACTTTTTATTAATGACCCTAACTTGTAAGTAGTATGTATGTAATATACAATTTTTAAATAATAATTCCTCCCTTCCAAATAAAAATCTTTATTAAGGATTCATGTGCAATAAATGTTTAATTAAACTTTTATGTTCAAAATTGGTTTGAAGAACAAGTTTTCTTGATTTATATATATAAACTTGAATATTTATATACACATGCGTAAAGATACTTCACTATATAGGCCACCATTTTAATTTCAATAAATAATTTGTCAATATTTTCTTTCAGGATGGATTTGGGGCATTAGGATAGATTTCAATTAAAAAAACAAAAGACAACCGTCTTTAAACAAATACTTAAATAATTTTTGTTATTAGATACACTATAGGCATCATATAAATGTGTCCATTTAATCAAAATTTTCTTAATATTAATGTAATTAACAATTAATATTGGTGTATGTGAAACTTGCAATTTTGAAAAGGAGTCATCCCAGTTGGTTACACACTCTGAAAAATTATAACAAATATAGATGTATTTTGTGTGCTGTGCTGTCTTAACCCATCGGAAGATAGATGATTGTTTAGATCTTCTTATTGTTTGAACGTTGTGTTTTTTCGGAGCTTCCCTTTTCAAAAAGGGATATAAGAAAATTGAAAGGTTTTCTGCTAAATAATATACATAGTACATATGTAAATATTTTTTATATGATTGTTGCCTACAGATAATAATAAGGATATTTTCAACATTTTAACCATGATTATAGTCAAGATGTTAGAAGCCTCTATTTTCCTATTAATTAAATTTGTCTGCCTTCACCATCTTGTTCCTCATTTTATTTACGACTATGATGATGTCATCATTTTTTTTTAAATTTTATTTTACTGTAACGACTATTGATTTTATAAATGAAAATTGTATATAAATATATATGATTTTATACATATATGTACACATTATTAATTATATGAATTTTATTTTTAAACTTCATTAAATAAATTTTAGGGAATTGTAGAATTTGAAATTCATATTCATTAAATTATGGTGAGCAGGTAATGTAAGTGTTGTGTTGTTAAAAGAATGTGTAAACAATATAAAATATATTGAAAAAAAAAAAATATATACGAGTATATATATAGTAATATCACTCATAACTCATTGATGTACAAAGTAGAGGTTTGATTTTAGAGTTAAAGTATTTTTGGTATCTTTGTAATCAAAGCATATATTCATAGTTAACAAAAAATCTCACAAAGATTAGTTTTATGGGATTTAAAATTTAGGACTTTGATAATAACATTCAACCTAAGCAGACTGTAATTAAAAAAATACCCCCAACAGATTTTGCTTAATAACAATGTAATTGTACAAAGGCTCTGGAACTAATTATTTGTTCTTTTATTTTGTATGCTGTTTATAGTTTGATTTTCATTTTTAAGAATATAATATATTTTATTACACAATGTTCCTTCATAACTTGTTAATCTAAATGTGCCAATGTTTGTGATTTTTTTTTTCCATTAAATGAAAACTACCACATTGAAAATATTTTAACAAAATAACTAAATTTTTTATTTACTGTTTGAATTTTCAAGGTGTTTAGAATTGAATTATTTAGGTAAAATTAAGTTTATCTTAGATTTAATGTGTGTTTCCTTGACACATGAAAAAAATTATAAAATAAAATTGTTTAAAAAATTTTTTTGTGTGTAATTTTATTTTTCCCACCAGGCACCAACTTGATCAGTGCTTATTCCAGAATGATGAACACAGTGTAATTTTAATTTTAGGTTAGGATGTTCTAATTAAATTGTGAATGACAGGAGTAATAGCAATCCATTCCTTGGTCCTACCCAAGCAATCTCACCTGCACAGGTAGAAGTTAAAAACTTCTTTCATAACAATAACTTGATACTCAACCACCTGAGCCACAATGACTTCGTTTGACGAGATGCTACTTTTCCATCGCAACACTAGTTTTTGTGCAATGCCCTTTTATTGTCCAAGTTCCACATCTGACCCGTAACATTGGCTTTTTTATCTCAAATTCGGAGTTTAATTATAATTTATAAATAATATAAAAAATTGAACCTAATAACTTGATAGTTAACATGCAACTTAATTCTAAAAATGGTAATATTTAAAATTAGATTTTTTATTTGGTTCTTTGTCGAAGTTTGTCTGTACTTCACAAAAGATACCTGCAGTCTACAACAAAATTACAGATATACCATAACTTTTAGTTCCCATTCTCCCTAAATTTTAAATTTTGTGACCAGTATATGGTATATTTTTTCAGAATCATTCTTGATATTAAACGTTGAAATTTAAAAACTACAGATGATACAAAACGAGAATGGCCACTTTTTTTGCCTCAGTGTATGTATTTACTGAATAAATCAGTAAGCAGTAAAACTTAACAGGTTTTATTCACATGGTACCATAACCTATAAAGTAGTTGGTTAATCAATTTTACAACACTGGAATGGATGATCCATGTAGAACACAGGCCAGGGCCAGAGACACGCTCAAATAAGATGAGAATTTATAAAACCTGCACCCAATCTCCTCTCACCTAGTGGTCTTAGCATTTATAATAGTGATTATGTATGGATTTATAATTTTTGTATAGGTATAGTTTGTTAGGTCTCTCAGTAATCCATACTGCCCGATTTTTTTTCCAGTACAGATTACTTTGAAGTACCAAGTTCGGATTACGGAGAGAGCACTACATTGTCAATCAACGGCTTTTCTGTGCAGTTCAGTATACCAGCTGTTACGAAGTGTTATTAGTAACATTCAGTCACTTTATCCTGCAGGCCTTACATTAAAAAAGGGAAAATAAAATGTCAACTTAAAATAGCTTTATTAGTAAAATAAAACATTTGTTTTACCATTTCAATAACTAATCAAAACTCTAATATACAAACAGCTTATTTTTTCTAAAATACTTAGTACCTTTATAATAATACACATGGGAATATATCAACACACATATACATACTAAAACCGAATTGGATCTCCAATCTAAAGACAGACTTAGAAAATAATGATTAAATAACATTTAATAATCATTAATTTAATATTTAAATTGTTAAATTAATGTTATCTATCATATAATTAATTTGTGTTTATTTTGTGAATACACACTCATTAATCTTATCAAAGAGCATTTTCATTTCAACTTTTGTCATTAAAAATAATTTTTTATAATATGTGTTATTAATATTGTGGGGACCACAGTGGCTGGGTGGTTAGGGTGTTTGATTTGCATATACCTTGCTAGCAGTTCTGGGTTTGAAACCCAGAATAACCCATGGAATTTTAATAATTTGAAAAAAATTGTAGTGTTTCTGCGTGATATGAGTGGTTGAACATTAACCGCTCCTGTACTTATGTATATTGTATAGTTAAAGTTATTTGAAATTATTCAAACTCAGTCTGTCTTCAAAAAGTGAATAAATAAACTTAAAAACATTGACTGAACAATCCTTTTTAAAAAGATAGTTCCTACTCACAGTAATTGAACAATATTTTAAAGGTTTTTTTTTAGATGTATATTTTGGATTAATATAATTAATAACATTTAACATTATCATAAAACGAATTTGTGGTTAGTTTATATAAAAAAAGTAAAACTTCCGTGTTCAAAATGAAAATACATGTAATTAAACTGAAAACAGGCGCATAATAATTATAACGGCTTTAAATTTTGAAAAGTGTTTTTTTGACTGTGTTGGTACCCACATTGCTGTGAAACATTACTTTTTATAAACCCATTTTTTTATTATAGCTCATTAATTAAGACAAATTGCCTCTATTGATATATGCATGTACAGGGTAGATAAATTTATAATTAATATATAATTACATAAATATAATATAATTATAATTAATTAAGTTAACAGTAACTATTAATATTGTTTTATCTGGTACATTGCTTCGATTGTAAATTCTTACTAAGATATAAAACATCAGTCTTTTAATAGCTGTAATAGGCCTCAAATGAGGAACTTAGCTTATCAATGGATTGGCCATTATTGATTTGTTTTCAAATGCCTTGCCGGCTTCTCTGCAGAGCTCAAAATTATATCAATCCATTGATTGCTTCCACTGTAAACATTCTAGTAGGATAAGCTTAAGACCTCGTCACTATTAAATGAAAATTTATCAGTCATGTTGGCTTTATTAATCAAAACCTTCCCAATTCCAAATTAATTTGCAATTTTCTTAAGGTTTGGACCCCTGAATAAGTCTATTGGCATTCTCTTTTTCCATTATTTATACACTAATTTTACCAGAGTACAAAATGTATTATGCCACCTTGGGTCCTAGCATTCTAAAAAGATATGTCACTAAGTTGTATTTACCTCCTTATTTTATATTTTAATAAACAAAAATACATTAAAAATTAGGATCGAATTGTTTTTTAAAATTTAGCAGACAAAATTTGCCCTGTTTCTTTTGAATTGGGACGGTAACTATTAAAATGCATATAATAAAGAAAATACTTAACGATATCGATTGGCTTGCCATCAGTCAAGTTTAGAAGTGACATACAAACAGAAAGAGAAACTATGTTTTTAAAAAAATAATACCTTTTAACACCTACTTTACATTTCCTAATATAACTTTATTTTATTTTGTACATCAGCCCCTTAATTAATCAATACAGTTTTAAAAAAATATAGTTATATGACTGTAGAACATTACACAAATAGATAGAACAAGTTCATATAAAGAAAACAATTATTATTACTATTTTCAACGTTAACATTAACTTTTTATCATTTACATTTAATTATTATATTGGTATGTTAATGGTATTTTTTTACTTTGCAATGCTAACCAAAACTCAGAAAAATGTAACTCGCAATGAGGAATTATATTCATGCATGTACAAGGATTTGCACTTGAATGAAATTCAAAGTTGTGAGTTTTAGTGCTTGTTTATAAAACTATTAAATTCAAAAATTTCTCAAATATATTTTTTTTAGATACTAATTTGTTATTTTTATTAGTCAATCCTTAAATGTATTTGATATAAAAATTGAATATTCATATGGTAGGTAATTATGACAAAATGTTTCTCCTGGTCAATCAATAGCAGTCATTTACGAATGGTTAAACATACAACAGTTAAAAAGTCAGAGACATAGTATAAACGATTGATTATTTTGTCTTTATCAAATTCACACATTGCACTTAGCAAAGGTAAGGATAAGGAGATATGTTTTTATATACTTAAAATTTAATATAACAATTACAACACATATGTGTACATATTGTCTTAAATAGGGAAAATTTAAGGACAATTACAGAGTATAAAATACAATTCTAAGAAAAAAACATTTAAAAGGCTACAGGAAAAACGCTTGCCTGCATGTTTTGGCTGACAGGTTCTGTCGGTGACTCTGAGTCAGTGGTAGGTGGTGTGTTGTTTCCATTCTGGGAAAAGTCATTGTCGTGCCGCTCCTGCAGGATCCTGGGTTGTGTAGCTGCAGCCGCTTCTTCGTCCTCTAGGCTAGAATAGCTTCCTGATGTGGCATCCGAATCTCTCGGTGGATTGCTGGATGCACCACCACTCGACTCGACTCCACTGCTGTACTCCTCGCTTGCCACTTCCTCTTCCTCTTCATCGTCATCATCTTCGTCGTCTGCCCTTTCTTCATCATCTTCGTCGCTGGGCGAAGCTGACCAGTCCTGGTCACTGCTGCTCGACATCTCCTGATTTCCTATTTGAGACAGAAGGAAAACAGCAATTTTTAAATATACTACTTTTATATACTTTCAGTGTTTTATGAAAAAATCATAGAAATGAATTGCCATATAATTAAAACGTACTTCAAAAATCGACGAGTTTTCTGATCAAACCAATATTTTTGTTGTAAGAATACACGAAAACACAAGAAAAAGAAACATCGATTTTTTAGTGTCGATTGCTGCTGTTATTTATTCTTTATTTATTATTTCAACACTTCGCAATGTTTTACAATATGTAGACTTTTATTAGCATGCTATAATGCTAATAAAATGACATGGAAAAACCACCTGCCGGAAGACCACCAAAAATTTGTTATATATAGAAAACAAAAACAACTAACGATTAAAAGGGGAAAAAAGCAGGGCGTGCTGATATAAAGAAAACAATGAAAATACCATATATACAATTATGAACAAGATATTTTCAACGTATATAACAAAAAACAAACAAAATATATAAAAATATAAAAAATTAATATCTCTTCTTTCTAAGCGAGAAACTCAATTTTTAAAGTTGAAATATTGTACTAGTTCGTATCTGTAAAACCATGCTTCACGTGCGTACTGAGCAAGAGCCTGACTTTGGTCATTAATCGCTGCCTCAGATTTTATTTTATTTATTTATTTTTATTATTATTTTTTTTAGTTGCATAACGAACATTGTTATCTTCCAACCTCCTCTCCATGGAACACAATTTAAATCCACTTGCTCGCACCTTAAGTTTAGCAACCATCAAAGGTCAGATAGTCAAAGGGAGTGGTTACTTCTTTGAGCAATAACTAACGGGTACAAATCTTTGTAAAGCAAAAAGCGGTCCGATGATCTTGTTTGACCTAAATAGGCTAACTCAGCTGTCAAAACTGCCTCGTGGCAAAGAAAAATCACAATTTAGCTCGCTCTTAAATTTATTCACTTGAGTTACCCAAAACAATTGCTTGTGAATAATCTTTAACGCGGTAATTTTTGACAGACGAGATGTGGAAGGCCAAGTTCTTAAGTATGAATTTAAAATGAAGGTTCAAAGTAGAAACAAATATTAGATCTGTTGATGTCTCAAGATGTAGCATGTAGTATGGGGTTAAGTCAGGAAGACCGAGCACTTTTTTCATGAAAAAACGGTTAACTTTTTCTATCCCTTCATACCGTTGAAATCCCCATACTTGGCATGAGTAGCGAAAAATTGATCGTCAACAACATTAAAGAGCGACAATTTAGCCGGGCAGGGTTGGAATTATTTCCGAAAAAATTCTTCCAGATTCGGTCGAGGCAAATTAAGTGTTATAATTAAAAATTACCTTGATTAATTTTTTCCTGGATAAGCGGATAGAATTCTTTGGCCGTAGAGTGATTCGGTTCGTATTCCAAAACTGAAAATTTTTAAAATGAGATTTCAATTTTTTTTAGAAAAGAGGGTAATACTCATTACAGATTAACTAAAACTCACTAATTTTGCAATATTTCAGTGCTTTTTCATAGTCTTTCAACATCACAGCAGATAAAAACTGGAACGAAATGCTAGTTGTAATTGTTTACTTTTGAATATAATTATATTGATATAATTGATAGCCTTTAATATTACAATTTTGTAATAAAAATAAAAAACAAGGCAAATTGAAAGAACAAACAGAAAAACACTCATTTCTTTCCTTAAATTTTCGAGGAAATATACTCTTCAGCCTTCGCCTTCTTCTGGAATTGCAATGGAAGGATATATCTCTGGATAGCTTGAAAAAGGAACTGAGTATTTTTCTTTTCTTTCAAATTGGCCTTATCTACGATTTTTATATAGATTTTTAAAAATTATAATTTAATTTTTTATGGCCTTACCTCAGCCAAAATTTCAATAGGTGCTGACAAACTCTCGTCAGCGTCTGTGTATTCGCTCAGATCTTCCGTGCTTTCATTTGTCCCCGGGCAGTTGCCATTCAACTCCAGTTCACCAACCCCAGTCACGAGTTTTTCTGCATTTTAAAAATATTAGATGAAAAAGTTTCTTCTGATAGGAAGCACGTAACGCTTACCCATTGTCGTCGTCCTTTTTATTATTAGTTTTCTTCGATTAAAAAAAAAAAAAAATATTACTCACATATAACCAAAATATATAGTTTTAAATATTAAGAAAAATTAGGTTTTATGGAGGGGTCACTACAAAGGTTTAAGTTTCTTCTTGGACTTGTGTGATTTCAGTCTCATTTGTGCTTACAATTTCATCTATTGATATTTTTTACCGAAAAGAAAGTTGACGTGAGTCACGTTAAGCGATCTGGCACACTTTTATGCAACCTTGACTTACTTCACCACTCCTTGTGTTATATAAACTGTCTGTTTCGGAGAAACGGTCTTGCAATTGGACAAAACAAAGTAGAACTAGAATCGTTACAGAATAATCATGAAGCCTAACGTTTTTAAGGGTCCTAAAGACTTAATGGGACTTAATATTACCACTTCATTTCAGTTTCTAATTCAATTCTGGTATGCCATCTTTGGAGAAGATCGACCCTGATGAGTCTTATTTGCTTCAAGTTTGGTCATATAACAAGGTACTTACTACATTAATGTCACACATATTGAACCTAGTCGTTTCCGTTTTAATGTTTCACCGTGTTTAACGTCTTTGTACAGTCATGTACATGTACGGGTTTTGTTTATACTTTAAACCTGTAGATTCTGCATCGAATGATTAAATTTTATGTTTAAAATCTGCAACGTTCAGAATTGCCGTTTTTTAAATACTCTGTATTTCACATTAGTTATATAATGATAGAGGAGACGTCCTTGGTTTCAACAAAAAAGTTGTTAAATGTACAATAATAATTGTAAACATGTTTTTGATTTACCTACATTCTAAAAAATCTAGAGAAACTACCTTAAGAAAAATAATACTATAAAAAATTTTCAATTAATTAATCTTTATTTAAGGTATTGGTTGAGATAAAAAGTCAGTGTCACGAGCGGGATTCGAACCCACGACCTTTGGCTAAATACGCCGCTGCTCTATCACTTGAGCTAACGTGACTGACTTTTTTATCTCAACCAATACCTTAAATAAAGATTAATTAATTGAACGTTGTTATTTGGTCAATCGGACCACGAAATCTAATGAGTTATAAAAAATCATTTTTTAAACATTATTTAACCATAATAAGAAGCACATTTAAGCGATGTTTCGGCAATGTTAGTGCCATATTCATGTATGCATTGTTTCTTCGTCTTTAAATATTTATCCATTTTAATCAGTACGTAGAACGGAAAACGTTATGATATACAACTATATAAGTTTAGCTTTGTTAATAGGTATTAGGTAGTAGAAGAAAGAAGAAAGTCGAAAGGCTCTACCCACCAATCCCACCAATAAGGAAGAAGACTCAACAGTCTGAGAATTACACGAGCCCGTTAAAAAGAATACAAGGACAAGGCCAATAACAGATAGAATGAATGGATACTGCAACCAATTCGGCCAAATGAAGGAAGGGCGTGGAGGTTTAAGGGCCCTTCAGGTCAACCTCCAGCATGCAAAGGCTGCGTCAGCCACACTACGCAGGAGGGCGTGGATGTCGTCCTGGTCCAAGAACACAAGGGACTGAAAGAGGAATAAAATCCCAACGGACCCAGGTAATATATCAAAGAGCATCATTATGACCCACGGCTTGTGTAGTATTTAATAAAAGAATTAGCTGCACACTATTACCGGAACTAAGTTCCGGTGACTTTGTTTCAGCAATTGTAATATCAAGAAAGGAGATGTTTAATCTGCTCAGCCTACTTCCCAAGAGAGGATCCATGCCCACCCAGGCTGTTGGATCACACAGTGAGGAACTCAAGGAGGCAAAATATAAAACTAGTCATGGGATGTGACGCAAATGCTCCCCACATTACAAAGGGAAGTACGAACATCTACAACGGAGGTGAGTCCTTATTAGATTACCTAACTGGCGAAGGGTTAAATATTGCTAATATAGGCACAGATCTGACCATTACTTCCCAAGGGTTAGCCTTCCTTTTACTCTTTTCTCGAAGACAGAGGGACCTCGACGGAGACCGATTATTTTATTTTGAATTTCACCTAATCAACTTTACTCGAAAAGAACTAGTCCATTAACATAAAAAACCACAACTACGACCGAAGGTAAAAGAAAAAACACCTTAAAACATGACCCTCACGGGATTTTTCTTTTGTTCGTCACAAAAGAGGTTAACTTACCTCATGTACTCTTTTTCTTTGGGTTTTGTAGAATCTAGTCAAAAAGCACACAATGGTACAAATGTCCTATGAAATGGATAAAAATACTCGTACTTCTCAAATATGTAACATATAATTCAGCAGCAGTGTAAGTAAACTTGAATATATAAATATAAAAAAGTTATGTATTTTTATACAAATAATTTAATATAGTTTAATTGGTTCATAAAAGATTTATAAATTTGTTAAAAAAAATGTAATTCCAAAGTTTCATGTATCGATGTTTTTGATCAATACAGGCCCTGATGATGCGACTATATGTTGGCATAAAGCTCGGTGATTGTTGGCATAAATTTTTAACTTCATTCAAGACCATAAACCTGATCCTTTTCAACATTGAAAAAAAAAACTGATCGTTCCTCAACGTAACATTCCATTATAGGATAATGTTGAAATGTTTGGGTTTAAATATAGTTGACATTACACAGATTAGCTAATGTTTGAAACACACTAAAATTACATGAAGCTTGACAGTTACACAGTGGTAAAATTTCAAAAATTATGAGTATTAATTTCAGTCGAGGTGAAGGGGATATAATATTATATTCCTTGAAAGCTCCGTGAAGCTGTTTTTCTTTCTAATTGGCTGTAACTTCGATTTTTAATATAAAATTATAATATTGAAGAATTATATTAAGTATGCCACAGAATAATAATTAATAATAAATAATTCTATTTTTATCAGACTTAAGTGCGATTTAATTTTTTTCAAATATTGTATTTAATTTTTAAATATAATTAATATAATTCTTAGAATATTCAAATATGCTACGATTTTATTTTTATAATATCTTGGCAGCATATTTGATTGTTAATTTTCATTTATTTCTGTAGGTGGAATTAAACTTTGACATATGTAAAAAGAAAAAATATAACTAAAAAATATATAAATATACAAAAATGCCTTAAAAGTAATTTATAAATCAACAAAAAATCTGAAAAAAACTCAAAATATCATAGAAAATAATAAAGTAAAAAAAAATTAAACAAAATTAACGCCTAACAACTAAACCGAACAATGAAGTAATACCAAAGCAATGCCACACCATTGTGAAAAAAATGAATTGGACCCTCTAAAAGTAAAATAAAATAGAAAAAGGCAATTAAACTAACGAATCCTCTCCAGAGAGAAATAAAAATGCAGGAACATTGTAGCGCAAAAATAACCGATGCCAGGGTAATAAAAAAATGGAAATATGGAAAAGCTACACACAAAATGTTGGAAAAAGGTTATAATGGTTAAGTTACAAGTCGATTCAGTGCCGAGCCATTAAAAGTAAATAACAACTATTCTATGACAGAAAGCGGCACCCCAGGCACTTTTAAAGTCTAGTTGCGCAAATCAAGCATAGTAAGTCATAATAGATAGGGCTAGACGACCGCCAGTGACAGAGTAATATAATATATTCAAGAAATACTCTAAATAAGAAGAAAACACCAGGGATACGACAAAATCGAGGCTGAAATATTAAAAGAAGTTGAAGGTGTCGGAACATCATTGAAAGCTCTTTTTATTTTAATGAATGCCTCGCTAAAGGGTACTCCCAAGAATGATGAAAAATTCCAAGGTTAGGGATGGTTAGGGTCAGGTAACCTTTTAGCCAAGCAAGTCTGTCGGCAAATGCAAGTTCGTCGTATCTTTTAAAATACAATACAGATATTAACCAATTATACATTTAATAAATAAAAGATTTGATGATGGGTGTAAATTCCCGAAACGTCATAATAAATATAAAGTAATGTATTTACTTTTTTTATTTTAAAAAACACATAGAAATGTTTTCTAATATTAACCAACAATTTTAATTATTAGTCTTAAAAATTTAAGATTAGTTTTAAAAAATACATGTTTTAAATAAAACAACTTTAAAAGAAAATATCAAGTGTAAAGATTCTATTAAAACAAGATTGTAGAAACAGCGTGAATGTAAAGCAGGCCGATTTGTAGTTAGTGTGTAGACAGAACAACAACAAACAATATTATAATATAAAATCGTGTTCCTCCCTTGACCAAATAGGGTGCGACAAGCTAAATTCATAAAGACAAAATTATACTAGCGCAGGTTCGAAGATTAGCTTTGTTAGGCAATCTGAAACGATCTTCTAAGTCATAGCCAAAGCTTCACCCATTGATTTGGACCTCACAATGGTAACAACCCTGAGAAAGAAACAATTGGAATAGCTATTGGGTACACCCAAAACGAGTCGTAGGAAGCAGACCAGTAAGCATCATGAAAAAATAGATTTTCTACAAGTGGTAGAATGGACATGCTAGTAGCACAAATGGCAAAACTTATTATTCTCCCTCACAATAAAATGCCAACCTTGCGGATTAAGCCCAACTTTCATATCTCCCAGTTTCTGAGTTGCAATGGTAACTTCGGCTCATATTTACACTTTTGGCTTTTCAACATCCGAACTATGAAGAGGATGTAATGAAAATCAGTGTATGTCCTATTTCACTATGCACATTACAGAAACCGTAGAGAGCCGCTAAAGCAAATTTTACCAAATTGCCACCAGAAAAACGAAATCTAGTGTTAGATAAGGGTTGTGATAGTGCTGGGGACTTCGGATTGTTTTCTCTTATTAGTCTTGCTATTATATATTAAATATTTGTCAGATATATGTCTTATTATTATGTAAGGGAGAAAACAAAAGGGGAATACCCATTAGGCTTTCAATTAAATTTTTCTTTTATTAAGTCCCTTCCCTCACCTACTCCTCAACAATCTACTAGGAAATAGAAGGGAAGTTTAATTATAAACCATAAATTATACTCCTTGAAATAAGTTAGGAGTGTGGTAGAAAGAAGGCAATAAAAATAATATAAAAAATATATAGAGAAAAACAACTATATATTTTTGTGTAGAGATTAGTGACCGTTAATCGATAGTTATTCAGATATCGTGAGATGCGGTCGGGTGTGATGGGGCACTCTCAACACGACACACAAGGATGGCACAATTACACAGAAGACAAACACTTTGAGCCCTGAAGATGATCTCAATAAAAGATCGAAACGTTGGCACGATAAAGAAAATGTTTTTCTGAAACCTACATCACACCCGACCGCATCTCACGATATCTGAATAACCAACTATATATTGTCTATCACAGAGTGAAATTAATTAGAATATATTTGTAGATGAAATAGAAATGATCTTTTACTGTAATTTGTACGTTTTTAACCTTCTGATATGTCGTTTGTAATTTGGTAAGGTAGAGTAATAAAAGTCAAGTAAAATGCATTAGTAAAATAGGAGAGGGCTATTGAATAGATAGTTTTGCTTGACTTAAGATATAAGGAAATGATCCTTATTGAAATATGCACATTGGAGTTAGTTTTTCCAAATAGAGAAGGCAAGTCAATATTATTATTTAGGAGTTGGGAAAGGAAAATAAGATCTAGCGTGTAACGTCGAGATGGTAAAGAAGGAAGGTTCAGTATGGCACATAAGTCGTCATAAGGTAGTTTAACACATGGAAGCCAATCCTCGACTCTATAATATTTATTTTTTTCCGTTGGAATTTTTCTGTTATTGGCTGTAGTAATTGTAACATAGCGACCAAACTAAAGAGCAATATTCCAATAAGGGCCCGATGGTTCTGACCATTGAACGATAAAATTGTTTCACTATGGAATGAGGGGAAAATCTCTGGCTGTCATTTTTACAATATCAATCGAATCAATGCATTACTGAAACTAATGCATTTGACAACCCAAATTGAAGTTAACAAGTATGAAAGAAAGAATATTAAGAGGATTTTTCAAGATCCGTTTCAACAAAGGGCTATGGATTTTAAATACAAAGAACATGCGATTTTTTATAGAAATGATGAATGGTGGAGTGAGTGCGGTGTTCAGTCCTTTTAAAAAGGTAGTTCCTACTCACAGTAAGTTGTTTTGCAACGATCCGGATTTCGAGCTTTTAGCTCATCCTCAGATTGAAGGAGTTCTACAACCTGATGATGAGCTAAAAGCTCGAAATCCGGATCATTGCAAAACAACTTACTGTGAGTAAAACAACTATCTTTTTAAAAGGATTGCGATCTTTGATGACCGAGAACCCGATCAAGGTCATGAACACGACGTGAGATATCCACGTAACTAACTGGTCGCCAATAATTTTCAATTGAAAAACCCACCATATATATTTTGTTTGACAAATGTTTTTTTCCCCCATTTTTGAAAGGTTCATTGTTCAGCGCAACAGGAAGACGCATTTGGTCTTTACCTCGGTTCAGGAGACAGGACGCTTAGGCTAAGAAGGATAGCTTAGGCATTATTTAACGCAACGATGTATAGGTTAGATTGAAAATACTAATTTTCGACAGTATTTTTTTGTGATTTACTTCTAAAATGAAAAGGGGGAATTTTTAATTTTAAAGCAATGTTTTATATACAACAAATTGACAATTACAATCGTAAATTGTGAATAAAACTCATAATAATGATCTCCTTTTCCTTTATTTCTTTTCTCTTTATTTTTCTTCGTATATTCCCATTAATTATTATTGTAATTCTGTAAAGTCTGTTTAGAAGATGTAAATAATATGTAGGCAAAAAAAAATTACAGATGCAAAAACCTACAATAAAATATATAGTTATTATTTATGGTAAAGAATGTAAAATAACCGATTTTTAAATTTTTTTTTCACAAAATGTAATCTCAAATGAAGCCAAATATGATATCGATCGTGAGTCAACGCTTATAAACTCTTCCTGTAAACAAGAGCCGATAACCTTCATTGCCCTCTTCAATTGAAATAACATTGACTCATTACTGATATTGTTAATTTCTTAATTGGAAAAAAATATTTGTGAGTTATAGCCTGAAAGTCAAAGACAATTTCCTTACGATATTTTAAAATTTCTGGCTGTTGAATACTGAGTTATGGAGGGAACGCAGAAAATACTTTTTTTGAAGTTTCCCATGATTGAACAAGACCTTACATAGAAGCCCTGGGCCTATTCTTGGGATAACAAAAATAAACATTCAACAAAGACAAAAGGAGATGTGGGCAAACTCTAGGCCCGCTAGACAAGTAAACTTAAGCTAAAACAATCCTCACCAAGACTTTCAAACTCACTGCTGCGTTTAGAGAGGGCTTAATTCTGAGGAGTGATTGGACTATCAACCGGTCACTGGCATCTGAGAAAGCATACACAACAAGGGAATATTCAATGATGATCCCATTTGAAGCTTATACAATTAGTAGGAAGAAACAGCCATTCATCTCATCTTCGAATGTGAAATAACTGCTTAATGAAGGCATAACCTGGGGTACAAAGAAAACCCAGGTAAAGGAATTGTAGTAACTGCAGTCAATGACCTAGTACTCCTTAAAAGATGGATCGAATCACGAAACTGAACTAACCAGAAAAGAACCAGGAAAGTACAATAAATAAGCTGAAGTGCTTGGTGACATAAACCCCACCTTCTAGTCTCCTTTCATCATTATCATTATCACCCTGATTGACAAATTCTCTTTGCACGTTTACAATTTGAAGATATGAAATAAATTACGGGTATGCTTTGTTTCCGCCCTGAAAGACCATATGTCCAAACTTATCGGGTACAAATATGTCACGTTCGTGTTTTTGATTCACAAAATGCAAAAAAAATAATGATGATGTGTTATATTGTAAATAAGATCCAAAATCTCGCCTGTTTTATATTTGAATTGGTCAATTTATGGCAATGTTTTGTTATCTATTTTTTTCGGGATTTCACATATTACATGGATATTGTTTATCATCGATTGTTAAAAATTTTAAACATATCTCTCATATAAATAAATCTGATTCTCTTCCTTTCACATAATTTTAAAAGTATGTATTGACAAGCTTGGATCATTCTATTGTTAGTAGTTTGTTTATTAAACAGCACGGTTGTCAGCAAATTCGTAACATTAATGGCCAAATTATTTTTCAAGCATGTTCATTAATTCAATACAACAATACATAAAGTATTATGCTTAAACCTCATTATGCTTCACATATAAATAGAAAATAAACATGTAGTTCCAAATATAAATTTACGTTCTTCCCATTTTGGTTAGAACTGTACAGCATGCGCCTTTGATTAATTTAAAATTTAGTACCTTTTTTTGGACTTGATAGTTCTTTGCATGAAAAATAGGCAATAAAAAAAAACGAAGTTTTAAGGTCGAAATTATCGTCCTCAGGCGATATGTTATGTACCCAACGACTGAAATCTTATTTATACAATAAAACAGTAAAATAAATAACAAGCGTTTTATTTTTTACGTATCATGAAGGTTCAAAAAACAAAAACTATAAATTCTACTGTGTATTTGTGATGTTTCTAGCTCGTCCCACCTGAACCTGAACTAACCTCGACCTTGTTTCGAGACGGGTTCTCACAGTTTGACAGAAATGCATTTTTCAGGGGTAGTCGAATGCGTCATCATGATGGGGTCATTAAGCCGTATCAGCCCTACGATATTTCCGATGGCACGACCGTTTTGTCTCCTCAGCCTCCGTGGCTGTAGTCCTGGACCCCGGGCAAAAACCCTCACAGAGATTTATTTTTGTCCTAAACCTACCTGTAAAAGTAAGTACGTGTGCCGAGTTCATGTTTCCGACGGACTGTCGGGACTCGGGATCGGGAATGAATCAATACACAAGACCTCACCCCTTCCACGCCCCCTCGGTGTTATTCCGAGTCCCATTCACCCTTGCCTTACTACAACTCCGTATGTCGGAAAATCCTCATTCGAGATTTAGTTACAGATTAATAACATTTTAAGGTTCATTTCTAAAAATTAATACGACAAAAGCTTATTTATAGTGCAATTAAGCCAGTTTTTATTTAAAAAAGATTATATATAAATAACAACAGTCTTGATTTGCAATTTTATTTAAAATTCTTATTTTTATGGAAAATACGAAGAAAACCGCAATAAAATAATACATCAAGTTCAAACTAAATCTTAAAATTGTTTTCATATTATTTTTCTTAAGTTTCACAATTATGCAATAATAACAAAAGATCCTTTAATTATGGTTTTTAATATTTTATTAACGATTTCCTTCTTTTGTACCGTTAAGTTTTTGAAAATTTAGCCAGTTCAGAAGTAAAAACCCAAATCAACTATTAAAAGATAACAACAACAAAACTTAATTGACAACCTACACCAAAAAACTGTTTACTCAAAAGAAACTCGGTATCTTTCAATTTCACTTACTTTTAACGAAGAGATTATCACACGTCTTTAATATTATAAAAGTATGTATGTAAACATTTGGGCTTGAGTCTCATTTATTATTTATTATGATGCTGGTAATGAAATGGGTTTTTTTCGAATTGGTCTTATCGTATCACTTACCATTGAGATCTTATCCGAAGAATATCTTCGATACGTGATATTTTTTAAAAGTAGCTGCGTTACCGTGCTAAAAGTGAAACTAGTTCATTTTGCCAGTCTGTGCCATTTTGGACTTTATTCGCGGGTCGAGACGTTCTGTTTTTATTAGGTTTTCCGTTTTATGACAGCGTCGAAGCTTAACTTTTCGCGGCAATCGTGTCGTAATAGTTTCTATTCTACGCAACAAACAAGTGCGGGTGTATGCGGATCTTTTTTCTTTTTTGCGCCTCACGCATGCGGATTGGGCGTTGAAAGTGCAGACTGCATGTTGGGTCGGATCTTCGATTTGAACTATTTGCCGTGGGATCTTTCGTAAAAGTTCGTAAGATTTAAAACAGTATTTAGTACGCTGTTTTTCTTTGCGTTTTGACAATGGGACGACCTGGGACGAGGCCATGGTTTATTAAAAATTCATCAAATTGAATTATCGATCTTAACCAATCGAGTGCGGACCAATTGAACGTTCGTTATTTATAGACATGAAATAAAACGTGAAAATTCGAGGGAAAATTTACTTTTCCCTTTGCAATTTTCTTAATTTTCGCATTAAAACAAATTTCTTCTTGGTAACATTTAGCAAACAGTTAAAAATGCACATCAATTAGGAGAAAGTTGCATGGGAAAGTTTATGATATTAGTGTATTATAGATAATAAATTAATATTTATTTTTATATTATATAAATAGAGAATAATTTTTATTCATTATTTTAATATTTTTCCATTGTGCAATTAACTTTTTTAGCAACTCAAGATATTGAGTTGACATTTTGATTTAACCGTATCAGTGTAAATTAGAAAATATGGAGAATTATTAGCAGAGCATTATAATATCAGTGCGTCTATCTGTTGTGAATTAAATGATCATGCGTGTAAAAATTCTTTACCGGATTTAATCGAAAACGGAAAAAAACTAACTTTAAGCACAGGTAATCTTTGTTTTACTCAACAACATTTCTGAAAAATAATTTCATTGTGTAAACGTTTATGTGCAAATACATAAACTAAATTTGTTAAAATAGTACCCTCTATGTGGTCTCACGACTTGCTGGAGAATATGGGGGTGCTTTTGCAAAATCTGCTAGATATGGATCCATTGTAACTGATATCGTTTTAGGAGCAATGCTAGGGTGAAAGTGAAGAATCAGTGAGATCAGTTACTGGAGGAAGCAAGAAGTGAATCCGAATCTTATCAGCTTTCTTGAAGGGGCACTGCAGATAAAATGGGCATCTGGGAAAATTTGGCAAAAACTAACACCATGTGCATAAATTCTTCAAAAAGGTAGAAAAAAAGCCAAAACATCTACTATCGAACTGTGGTGCTAAACTTCACTGCAAAAGAGAAGAGAAAGTGTTTATGGACTTACAACACACCCGTATAAGCAATATAGCAGTATTTGCAATCAATCAATGAGGGGGATGGATGTGAGTTAAAGAGAGAATCAGGGTGTGACAGATGAAGGGAGAAAGAATATAGGGTGGTGCAAGGGTTCTGGTGGAATTTTCTTAGTTTTCGCAAAACAAATTTCTTGGTAAAAACTAGCCAACAGTTAAAAATGTACAGCTATTAGGAGAAAGTTGCATGGGTAAAGTAATATTACTGTATAATTTGGTCGTTACCGATCATTTTGGTTTGTATATCCTCGCTGGGTTGTTCTGTCAGTCGCATTTCACCTATCTTAAATGTTTTATTTCTGTGGTGGGCAAAACAAAACGACTGGAAGCGACCAATTACAGGTCGACCACACGAAGAAATCTCACATGTATTTCGGTGGTGTAGGTTTTTGAGGGGTGTCAGAAAAATTTAAACCACCTGGGTGGACAGTACCTAACGCATATTCCATTATGCGCGTGATTAATAACTTCAAGTTTTTTTCGGAATGTGAAATTATTTTGAAAAGGAAGTTACTATCTGCGAGGAGTGGAATAAAAGCGTCTTTATTCTGTGGGGCCATATAAAGTCTAAAATCGAATGTAATACAAACATTTTATGATGATATATAGTATAACTGAGACACTTTATGGTCAATAAAGAAAAGTAAACTTACGTTCCATGGCATAAATATTTCTTTATTTCGTGCCTTTCAGGCTCATTGCCCCATCGTCAACAACCCCAATGGATCATTTCTCAATCTGGGGCAATTAGACATACACAACTATTGGCATGGCTTGATAGAAGAGACTTAATAGTCCAGTCAAGGGGACTTTTTTTTTAACGAGGGTATTTAGGGGGGGGGGTCGCATTTGTAAGGTTGTAGGTCTGCTGTTTCGAACTCGGGATCTTTACCTTACAGTGATGAGCGCCGTGTCAACGCCTAACCGTTGCAGCTACCAATGCCCACGTATGTGTACATTGAGATAATTAGCAGGTAAATAAGTAGGTAAATAGAAAGAGACATAGAATAAAGGAGAAAGCGATAAATGGAGATGAGGGAAAGAGAGTGACGGAGGTATATAAAATGAGAGAGTAAAAGAACAAATATACTTCAAGAACTAGAACAAAAATAATACGAGTTTTATTCTTTAATATGAATATGCTCAGTTTGATATCAGTAATTAATTTCTTTTAAAGTATGCTCTTCACAATTACACTTTTGTGTTGTGCATAATTATGTTGTACTTTCATTATTTTTATTGATTGTTTCATTTTGTAGGCTTGTATAATAAAACGTTAGTTGTTTGCCTGACAGACCAACATAGGATAGGCATACCAAAATGATCGGTAACGACCAAATTACAGGTTCACAAAACAGTAGTTTTTATACTCATGTATGATTGGCGTTGACATTTTCTTCGTAGGACATTCTCCTCTAATTTGATTTAATTTTACTAAATAATATTTTGGGTTATTTGGATTTGAATAGGCTCAAATCCGCACATGTACAAAACACATGCAAATATGTGCCGAGTTGAGCCTATTGGTTTCTCATAGACCACCGGCAATTTCAGCTTACTATTTACAGCTTTTACTATTTACAGTAAATTGCCGGCAGACTTGAGAATCACCCACCCCGGGTGTTGGCAGTCCGAGGGCAGACCTCAGTCTTATCCGTCCAGCGTCCGAGGTTGGGCTCCGGAGGATGGGCGCGGTCAACAGCCAGGTCAATTCAGTACCCAACGCATCGAGTTTCAAACCCATTTCACTCACGTTCATTCTTACATACATTCACTCCTATTTACATGCCATTCATTCAATTAGGGTGATGGAGTATTCGATATTCCGCTATTGATCCTCTCATATCGCACATTCACGCTAATAAATACATTGACTCTCAGCACGACCGCATTATACAACTAGCCTAATTGAGGGTCGATGAGGTACTCGATATACCGCCATCAACCCTCTCTCACATTATTATTACCGTACCCTGTTTCCTCCAAGAATCGGAACAGGGAACCCAAAACTCGCGGCCGTGCTCAAGCACAATTCTTAAATCGGCCTTCTTGCACGCTGGGAGCCAAGGAATTGCACCCTTCAATTAGGTGGAACGCATCGCGCAACCTTTCTCTGCATGCCGGACACATACGCCGGTTTTGGCCCAAAGGTAAGTGTCCGAGTACCTCGTTTGGCCTATTCTTAATCGGGACGACCCTTCTACGAGTCAAATCCTCCGAGGGCCACTCATCGACCGTGCTCTTGATACGCGAGAGCTCTCTGTGATCCGGCTCATTGACGCTGCCACCTTCTTTTAATCGTTTTTTTATTATGGGGTTATTGTTAGTATTTTAGTATTGGTTTTACAATAACATATAAATGTTTTATGCCGTTCACGAGAATTTTATAAGATTTACATTAAAACAACAATTAAACTGTGATTATAAAAACGACAGTTAAAAAAAAATATTTTCACATAAGATCCAATTAATTGACAATTAATCCATATTTGCTTACTGATCATAATTGAACATATTATTTAATTGGAATAACTGATAATACAAAATAGCCTTGTGGCTAAATTTTAATGCTATAAGTTTACAGTTTATGTTGATGAAGAAGAAATCGACTACGACGATTGATGTGTTTGGGATCTGGTTTCTGATCAAGTTATTCGCTTCGTGCTTTACTTTACTTTATAGTTTATAACATCATAGATTTAAAAATATTCTACTTCTTTATAAAAAATAACGAAAAGAAAAAAAAATATAATGGCTTAATTTCATGAACTCTGAGTCACATTATCATTTGGCGGCCGTGGGAAGTGAAACAATTACGGCTGTCACGCTCTAAAATAAAAAGGACGACACTAGTTATATTTTTTCCAAATCGTAGAACCCCTTGAGAAGGAATGAACTAATAGTGTCGTAACTTTTTTCCTAGTTATGAGGTTTCTATATTGAAGCACCCCCAACATTATATCTACATGCACTCGATACTTACTGAAAAAACTTTGCATTGCTCGGTTCTGGTTAATTTGTATGCCAAAGATGATAGTTTTTGTGAAGAGGGTTTCGCAATTCTCGTGAGTGGGGATTCTTTGTTCTTGTGGCAATGCCCCCTTCGTGCTGTTTGGTAGTCAGACAAACTTATCTCCCTTCTCAAACCACCCTCAGATACAAATTCAAAATAGTCCATATATTCGGAAAAAATATACTAATGGACTTATAATCCCTGCCAATATAAACAGTCATGATCCCCAAAGATTTTGAAAATATGATATTGATGATGATGATGGAAACTAGGGATGTTGCATTGCAGCCTTCTAGCTTACTGTACGTTCCTAGTTACTACCTTAATTCAGTGCAATCAACTCGATCCTTCTTAGAAGTACTAGGCCATTGACTGTCGTGATTGCTGTTATATTCCTAGGTTTTGTCATCATTAAGCGGTTGCTTCGAAGACGATATGGGTGGCAGTTTCTTACTCCTCATGGCATAATCTACGATCATCACTGAATTTGCCGATATTGTGCATGTTTTCTCAGATGCCAGTGACCGGCTAACAGTCCTATCATTCCTCTAGGTTTGGCCCTCTCTAACTGTAGCAATGAGTTTGCCAGTTTTGGTGAGGGTTGTTTTAGTTTACTGTATCTAGGGCCCCGAGAGTTTATCCACTTCTTCTTGTGTATTTTTTGGATCCATTCTGTTTCCATTTTGTCCTGGTACCCAAGATATCATCAGATTATTGTTTTCCCCCTGTTTTTGGAGATTTTGGATGTATTTACTGACTAGTTTTGACGTGATTTTTGACTACTTTTGATTAGCTTATACTTTAATAGTTGC